TTGACTATTATATGTCTGCGTGTAGTTTTATTTTGCTTGTGGTTGTTTGGAGTTCTGTATGCCTCATTTAACTGTATATCAGGTTCTGTTTCCATGCTTGGGAAATTTTCTGCTATTATTTCTGCAAATATTCTTTTTATGTCAGTTGTGTTGCCTCCTGCTATTTCATTGACTCTTATAAGTCATACATTATTCCTCTTTGCCTTGTCTTGAAGCGGTTGAATTGAGTTTTCCTGGCTCCTTGTTGGTTTGAAGAGATCCTTTCTTTCACAATCGCTAGCTGCCATGCTGTCTTCAAAGCCTGAGATTCTATCTTCAGCTTCATTCAAGTGGTTTTGGTAGCTTTCAATAGCAGCTTTGTTTTCCTGGAAGTGTCTTTGAATCAGTTCATGCATTCTAATTCCTTTCTATACTTTTCATTGAATGCTTCTGACCATTGCCTTTTTTTCTTCTATTTTGAGTGGGGTGGAGTTCTTGGATTGTGTTTTAGTCCTTTGTTTTGTCATGTTTGCTACCAGATGCTGAAAGCTCAGTTTCCCTCTTCAGTAGCTGCACAGCAAAGGCCACTAGTGTTCCTAGTTTTTGTGTTCGTCAGGATTGCCTGTGAGTAACCTCTGAGAAGCTCTACTTAGTCTTGGGTTTTCCGGCAGTTGTTGATTTGTGTCTAGTTATCCCAGGTCTTAGACACGGGCATTGGTGTGAGCTGATGGCTGACCATCTGATCCAGCATCCCCTTGCATTTCAGGGCATGTTCACGGCCCAGACTCGGGTTGCTCTGGTGTGGCAATCCCGGTCTGTTGGACCTATGTCCCCAGGCAGTTGAGGGTAAGAGCAGAATCCAGACACAAACGGCAGGATCGACAGTTTGTGAACTACCTGATTCTGTGTCTCCAGTCAGTTCAGAACACATACAGAAACCAGATGCAGGCCTGGCGGGTAGCAATCACAGACTGCTTGTGCCTGGGACCCCCTAGGGGATCCCGGCAAAAGTAAAGCACAGACTTGAACCGCGGGACCAGCAGCTCCCAGATCACTCACATACTCTGTGCAGAACATGCGCAGAGTCGGGCTAAACTCACCCCCCCCCCAGCCAGAGAAGTCCCTGGGGCTTCTGAGTGAGGACCTCCTGTCTGCCACGGGTGCATGGAGGGCAGAGACTCACTCTGTGATGTGGCAGGGTCCTGGGTCCCCTACTCTGCCCTCAGGAAGTAGATGGGAAATACCTGGCTCTCTCTGTGGGTTTCAGCTGGGAACCATGGTGGTGTGAGCAAAGCATAGACTCGAACCACAGGACCAGCTGCTCCCAGAGCACTTGCTCACTCCAAGCAGGGCATGCACAGGGTGGGGCTACTGACTAATGGTTTATTTACTAGCCTTTTATTTGAATTCCAAATATTTCCAAATATATTGTATTTCCATATACTTTTGCATCTACTGGTTACTACTTTAATTCCCTTGTGGTTCAAGAAAATGTACACATTTTGTGTAATTTCTAATGTCTTAAAATTGGAGGATTTGTTTTATGATCTTGAACATGGTCTACCTTTGAGGATATTCTACATGAACTTGAAAAAAATCTGTACTCTACTATTTTATTCAATTCTATAATCTATATGGTTTAGTGGGTGTTTTAGACCAATTCCATTTAATATAATTATTAATATGTTCTCATTATTTTGCTAGATGTTTTGTATTATTTATTAAATATTTATTCACTTAAAATTACTTTTCTCATTTATTTTGAATTCCTTGTAGCTATAGAGTTTTTTATATATATAACATATTTTATTTACACACACACATATATATTTCATATACACACACACATATTATCTACCTTTAAATTATAGTGCAAGGATAATAGATGAATATGCTTTTCATTTCTCCCTCATGTTTTTTGTGCCATTGTTGTTGCATATTTTCCTTTTTTTCAAATTCTATAAACACACAGCACATTGGTGCCATTTTTCCTTCACAGTCTGTCACTTGATAAAGCAGTGATTCTCAAATAGATGCATTTTTCCTCCCAAGTGATTCAATTCAATTTAGTCTATATAGGAAATTAACAATGGTAGTGTAATAACATATTGCTATCTTCAAAGTAATTGCCCAGATTACCAGATATAAGCACGTAAGATTGGAGTATTACTCAGCTATAAAGAAAGATAAACTTGATGCTTTTATAGGTAAATGGATGCAGTCAGAGACCATACTCATAAGTGAAATAAATCAGGTCCACATGTGTAAGTATTGTATTATCTCCCTTGTGTAAGAACCTGGAAGAGTTAATAAGCTCTGAAAGGTACAATAGATATTGTGAAAAGGGAAAAAAATGCTCAAAAGAACAACTGGGATGAGGTAAAGGAGAAAAGAAAGAAAGAAATGGAAAAATATATGTATACACATACAATAGCTAAGACAATTGTACTACTAATTTCTACTGGTTTACTGAAAGATTTCTTTGGGCGAGAACAAAGTATAGCACTTTATTCATATTCAGCATCTCAAGTAAACTCTTGAAAACACTCATCACTCATAATGACAGAGGTTAAAAAGATATTCATAGGGTCAAGTATTTATCCTAATTATGTTGCAGCACTAGATTTTGCATCCACATACAGAACCCTTCCTCCTCCATGAGAACTCATGTCTTGCTTTTGTCACACTCCAGCTGTACTAGTTATCAGCTCTGTGACTCTGGACAAACTTTTTAACCTCTGAGTCCAACATCCTCCCCATAAAGAATAGATGATTATTAAACTATAACAAGGATAATTTTATATCCTAGGGATTTTACATTCTGAGGGCAATAGTTGTATGTTCCTCCCAATTACCTAACAAGACACTGTCCTCCAGGTAACAACCACCAGGACCACACTCTGGAATGAAAAGTTGGTTTTATTGTTCAGTGAAATAAGAGAGAAAGCTCACCAGTGGGAACTGTGAGACATATCAGTAAGAGGGATTTTGGAACTGTAGAAGTAGAACCCATCAGAGACAGATGTTAAGAGAATTATGTAACTGTGGTGGTGAACTAGCCAAGTCCAAGGTCTATAGGGCAAGTGATCACCAGGTTAGTGAGGATGTCAGCACAGGCAGGAACTACTGTGCACAAGCACTTTCTTCTTTCTTGGAGATGCCTCAGCTTTTCCTTATGTTTTTCCAACTAGCTGGATCCAACTGTCAATTTGTTATGAAATTAACCCCATCTTTAAAATATCTTCGCAGCAAAATCTAGTTTGTGTTTGATTAACTCAGGTCTATATTACACACATAAAGCCAAGTGTTAACCTATTATAGGGTTTGGGCTTATATTAGGCAAATTTGAGGAGGATCTAAGAAAGAGGGACTTTGCACTTAATTAGATTCTGTCAGGAAGTGGGGGCAGAGTACTTCTATGATTGGGTTGATTGGGTTTCTTAATAAATCTTATGTTCAATGAAGTTAAAGCTGTAATTGATAAAGAAGAAGCAGCCACTCATAGGCAAGTGCTGCTTTGTCTAAGTATTCCAGGGGCAGGGACAGGGATGAGCGTAGGGTTAGACACAAAAACCGAGCTGCCTAGGGTCCTGGCCATGATTTGACCATGCTTGGTCATTCTGAGGTTTCAGTAGTGTTCATGTTTTGTCTGTGCTCAGGCATGATTACTGAGCGGCCTTGTTTCCTGTCTTCATCCATCATGGTCACAAGGGTGGCTGCCTAAGACTGACAGTCTACAAAATTGTTAATGTTCAACAAGAGAACACCAAAACCTAGCAGTGAGTAGTAGGTTAGCCCATAGCATGAATGCATAGTTAAGTGGATCCAGACAGTTCCCAGATCCAGGGCATTTTCTGTCTCAACCTCATTTTGATCTCTGTCACTGAGAAGACCAAGGACTTACAAACTACATTGTCTAACAGGCAGAGTGATTGATTATAAGTTACTATCATCTTGTGATCTCTCTAACATACTGAAAATATACTCTTCTGGAAGAAAAATCTCCCTCTAATGATTACCTTTGGCTTTAGCTTAATCCTTAGGTCTTTTTTTTTAACCGGGACTCCAACTCAGGAACTTACGTTTACCAGGCTAACGCTGTGCCACTGAACTGTCTTTACAAATATCTGAAATATTAATATGTCAGAATAACAAATATAAAATTCCAGTAAAGGAAGAAAAGCAGTTTTCTAAGTCACAGCAATTTTCCTCATTCCACCCTCAACATTTTGACATTCTTAAATTTAAAAAAACCAAAATTCTTACAGTGATTTATCTAGCCAGAGTTTTCTTCTATATCTCAGTGTGATCAATGTCCCTGAATTTCCTTCAAACACAGGCAGCATCAAAACACAGAGCACAAATGTTACTCAAGAGAAAGAAAACGTTTGTTTAGGAGATATTACAGACAGCATTTAGCGACATTAGAACCCCTTTCACTGTTCTGGCTGGACACACCTAAAGCTTTTGAAAGCATGAAAAAAACTTACTTGGCTGTATTTTAATGATTTCTGTGAGAAAAAGCAAAGGCATGGCTTGGTAACCATCAGGAGAGATGCCCTAGATAAGTGGGTCCACTCAAAATGTGAAGTCCACTAGCAAGGAAGCAAAAAGAAAGATAGACATGTGAAAAACCAGAGAAAGGTGGATGTTGGCAGGGATTGGTGAGGATTTCTAAGAAGGGGAATCAATTTAGCGAAGAAGTCCTGGAGGTTGCAACCCAGAAAACCCCAAAGGACACTGCGTTATTTAGAACATTTTCTATCCACGAGGCTGCTCCGCCATTCCCGCCCCTCCACCCCTAACAAACATGCGCATATGAGAGAACAGTCTGATTGGAACCCTCCCAGCATTCACAGAGCTCCCCCGCAGTCCACTCTCAGCAGAGGCTGCATCAGAACCAGGGGATTCCCCTCTGTCCTTCGGGCCTCTTACCACAAACCCTGCACCTGGCAACTGAGGTGTCATCAACAGCGATTTTTCTGATTGGCCAAAACCTCGTGCGAGAAAGTTTGGTGTGGCTGTCTAGATTTCCCCGGCTCAGTTCTCTCAACTGCTCTGTAACTCGGAACAGCAACTGCGGAGACCACCTTGAGAGGAGGATGATTCCAAACAAAGCTCTAGTTCTCGGGGTCTTTGCCCTGACCGCCGTGACGAGCCTTTGTGGAGGTGAAGACATCGAGGGTGAGTGCACGGCTGAGGGAGGTTCGATCCCTGGAGCCGGAAAATAGGAAACTGAAAGCGTGGAGCAGGGTTAAAGACAGGCTGAGCAGGGAGTTTTCAAGGGTCTTCTCGGTATTACAGGAGTGCAAAGTTATGACATTCCTCCTTCAGGGCACCAGAGCAAACCACTCTAGCGGCTAACGCTGCACAGTTCACCAAGCACTTGGTTCTGATACTGGATCCAGTGAATGTAGCGGGGAATGGCTCTGCTGCCCAGTCTGGTTTTCTCACACAGCAGAGATGTTTCCCTAAGTGGACTACTTCTCAAACTAAAAATGTGTGAATTATTACTCTCAAGTTTCTCTCAACAATTTTTCGAGCTTGGGGGGTGGTGTTTGTTGGTTTGTGACAAGGTCTCCTTATGTAGGGCAGGATGGTCTTGAACTCGCTTATGTAGCCCAGGCTGTCCTTGAACTCACGGTGATCCTCCTGCCTCAGCTTCCTTAGTGCTGGGATTACGGGCGTGCGCCACCACACCTAGCTGAAGCTTTTTCTATATGACTCTGTGGTACATCTTTGGGAAAACAGTTCCATGAATTATTCCTACTGTACAGATACACAGAAAAGTGCCCTTTTCTTTGCCTCAGATCTAACACATTTCTTTGCCGGGGATAGGCAGGAGCGGGAAGCATGTTAAAATGTCTTTACATCCTCGTTTTGCTTTGTGGTCCTGTTTAATGTTATTTCATAAGCGACACCTCACAAATAGTCAAAACATAGGGATTTAGGTGTGCTTCATAGGTAGTGAAAACATATAGATGCTAACTCCCCCCTCCATTTGTTTATATTACAGGTACAGCTAATTTTTTTTTCTTTTCAAAAGTAAAGAATATGTTCGTCTTTCTTTAAAATTAAGAACTTTATGAGGAACAGTTTGGTGAATTATTTTATTCTCAAGTTATCAGCTCAAGTTACTGTTCTCCAGGCCGTCTAATGGAGTTCTAGGAAGGGAAAATGGGCAGCACTGGTTACTGGGTCCCATGGGCCCCTCTGCCTCTGTTGCCCACCCCTTTCCACCTTCCCTTCATACAGTCTTTCTTCCCTCTCTCAGGACCCATCCCTGACTCCCTGCTGTTCCACAGACATGAACAATAGATCAGTAAATCCACAGATGAAAAGCCATGTATTTAAAACAGGAAGTGAAAGGGTTTAAGCAACTTTATTAACCACAGCGTTTCCATTTTAAGACTGTTTGGTGTAGAAGTTTCACCTGCTCCTCCAGAGCACTTGGCTTATTTACCACATATTCTTCCTTCAGCATCACCCCGAGCATCCTGGTGAGGCTCAACTCACCCACGCGTGAGGGCTGCGCTGTGCAGGGGGATTCAGAGCACTGTAGGGCTGCATGAAAATGTTTTAATTTCTTTCAAAATTAAAAGAAACATGAGGTTTTATGGCCTAAGAAAATATAAACTCGGCCGGTATTTGTCTTCACACATAAAGTAGGCTTTTTAGTGTTGCCCCTGAGGAAGAGGCCGAAAACACCACAAGGCATACCCTCACAAGTTACTGTGCAGCCCTGGTCATCGCTGATACTGACCGCCACATTTTCTGCTGTGTACCTAACAATTTTCCCAAAGTATCTGTTGTCAGAAATAGCAACTGTCATTTGATACACAGTTTTAAACACATAGCAAGCTAAGTTCGGGGTGTCAAAGATGAAAACACAAGCTGTGTGCTCCCAAAGGATTCACAGACTGGTGATGGAAGCAGAATCGGGTGCAGAAAGGTCATCGCTGAGCAGGGCCTGGACCCACTGAGGCTGAAGCTATAAAAGTGGCTCAGGTCTGTCAGCATGGCCGTATGCTGTCTACCAGCAACGCTTGTAACTCAGGACAAGCGCCAGGGGAAGGGAGTGGTCAGTGTATTCACATTTGAGAAAGGAGTCAAGAAGATATACAGTACTGCAAGGATAAGGAGGCTTTGTTGGGAGGCCTGTTATTCCAGATGGACCAAGCTCAGTACACATTTGCTCCTTTACTCACCTCTTTCCTGTTGTTCAGCAAGCTCCTTGACAGCAGACACCAGGCTTGAGTGAGGTTTTACTCCATGTTTCCATTATGTCTGGTGTTTGTTGGTGCTCGGGAAAGAAAGAAAAAAAATGAAATGCTAAAACACTCATGGATGTCTAGATAAAAACAAATCTGTTAGTTGCACTTGGGTGCAGTCATACTGCACTGGCTGCCGCTCTGTGTGGCGTCCTCCAAACTGCTTGCTGTCTGTTGGAGGACAAGGACCTTAATTTACTTTGACTGTAAAAGTGAATGTAAGTATTGGCTTGGAACAAAAGGAAAGGTTTAATAAGTTCCTTCAAGAGAAAAGAAAATTGGGGGTGACAGAAATCCAAACACTAATAAAACTCCTTCTTTTATTCTAGAAAAAAAATCAGTTGCTCTTCTTTAAGAATTATTAACTACTCTTAACAAAATAACAACCTTAGAAGCATTACTTTTATATTTTTTGGTAATATCACCATTCTTGTTATACTTTTCCTTATACCTTCTAAAAGTTAGAAGAAGCTCCTAAAATAAGATTCTGTGTAGGCATTTTAAAAAATGAGAAGGGACCCTCATGTTGAAAATCTATCCTGAGCCAGCTCCAAGGGGAAAGAAAGTATAATAGACTGATTAGTTGGTGAAAGAGCTGGTGGATATAATGTATGAAGCAGAGGAAAGTAAACTACATCTTTAAAAAAACCAAATTCTCACAAAAAAGTGTTTATTCTTTTTTGCATTTGCTTGCATCATTTATCATAAGCCCATGATGTGTTAAACAGTGAAAAAGGTACTGAGGAAATCTTAGTAATTAGACATATGACATTCTGCCCTCATTGAGAATACATCATAGTGGGAAAGACAGACTAGATTGTAACCAAATGACTGCTAGTGCTAGGGATGGAAGAAGCCTGTAATAGGCATTTTGTCCAGCAACTGTACCAAAAATGAAGTCCACAATATTTAGAAAATTTCATTTTTTTTCTGTCATTTTGTTTAATAATGCTCTTTCTCTCTCCGTTTTCCACCTTTCTGCTATTGACCTGTATTCATCAGCTGACCACGTTGGTTCTTTTGGCATAAGCATGTACCAGTCCTATGGACCATCTGGTCAGTACACCTTTGAACTTGATGGCGATGAAATGTTCTATGTGGACCTGGAGAAGAAGCAGACAGAATGGAGGCTTCCTTTGTTTACCGAATTTACAAGTTTTGACCCACAAGGTGGACTGAGAGAAATAGCTACAGCAAAACACAACTTGGGCATCCTGATCAAAAGCTCTAATTCTACTCCAGCTACCAACAGTATGTGTTCACCATCCTGCTTCTCTTTACTAAATCTATCCTATCATCCCAAGTTTCATTCCATCCTTCCCTTCATTACTCTATGAAGTCTCTCCTTCTCAAGTATCCCCAGATATTCTCATGATAATTGCTGAACTTTAATCTTCCCTCATCTTACAAATCATATTCTTCCGTGTAATGCAAAGAGCCTTACTCCCTTAATGCATTCCTTTGTTTCTAAAAAGGGTCCCATATCCTACCTTAATGTGCATGCCCATAAAGAGAAAGACCTAGGGATAAAATGGAGGCAAGGTATTGTAGCTCCCAAGAAGAAAAGAAGCAAAAGCTCTTTGATTATCATGTGAGCGAATGTTGTTTGAAAGGCTCTTTCAGGATACAGTGCAGAATGTCATGGTAGAACAATTCATATTAGATATTCATATGATGGTTTCTCTTTCCCATAGAAGTTCCAGAGGTGACAGTGTTTCCCAAGTCTCCTGTGATGGTGGGTGAGCCCAACACCCTCATCTGTGTGGTGGATAATATTTTTCCCCCTGTCATCAATATCACGTGGTTGACCAATGGACATTCAGTAACAGAAGGTGTTTCCGAGACCAGCTTCCTGTCCAAGAGTGATCACTCCTTCCTCAAGATTGCGTACCTCACCTTCCTACCTTCTGAGGATGACATTTATGACTGCAAAGTGGAGCACTGGGGCCTGGACGAGCCTCTTCTGAAGCACTGGGGTACGTACAAGTTCCACACCTTTTGGGTACCTTCTTATTCTCTATCAAGTCCAGAATGCCAAAAACTTGTTTTCTGCTCTTTAAAGGTTTCTAGTGATAGTCTTGATGCCATTCTCTGAGACTAATGATCCAAATATTTGGAGAACCAAATACTAATCCTCCACTCCAAACCTATCTTATATGTATGCACAAGTATACTCTTTATTCTGACCTCCACAACTTCAATTTTCCAGAACCTGAGATTCCAGCCCCTATGTCAGAGCTGACAGAGACTGTGGTCTGTGCCCTTGGATTGACTGTGGGGCTTGTGGGCATCGTGGTGGGCACCATCTTCATCATCAGAGGCCTGCGCTCAGGTAGTGCCTCCAGACACCTCGGGCCCTTGTGAGTCACAAGGAAAGGTAAGATTTTCTATTTACCAGAGATGAACCCACTATATGGGGGTAAGAAGGAGGAAATGGTTAGTGATACTAATTTAGTTAAAACATTGTAGGGAATTGCAGAGTGGCGTGGACAGTACAGGAGCCCATGGCATCCACTGATCTCATGTCTCTTTTATTGCAGGTACATTTCCCATCTCCAGGAGCAGAAAACTGGACACTCTCGATGGCCTGGCACTAATTTCTAGCCTACTTCACCATATTCTTTATCATCTCTAGATGCCCCACCTCTCACCTCTTCTGTAGGTCCTAAGGTGCTATTCACCCTCCAAACTCATGTACCCTCAAAGTTCTCCCCCAGACCTCCCAATTGTTTCCTTTTCTCAAATTTACCTACTGTGGGATCCCTGGGAAAATGGACCCAGCTACCCGTTCCCCAGTGACTGTCATCCAATATTTCCATGGAAGCAATAAATCCCCCTTTATGAGGTCTTTGTTGAGTTTTTTTCATTCATCTCAAGGTCACCGGGGCCATGGCTACAAATCAGAAAGCCTTATGTTTCAGGCCCATACAATCACATTCCTCGGGTCATGTTTAATGCTTAGTAACATCAAAGCAACCAAATATAGCACCATGGTGGTTTGATATCTTAGCCAAGATTAATATTTTTTTCTTCCTGTTGTTCCCAGCTTTGACCATTGCTACTCACCTCCATTTCAGACAACGAGGGTAATATATACCCTCTCTTCTTGGCGTTTACTTGTTATATTATTAAAAAAAAAAAAAAAAACGTACATAGCTCTACACTCAAAATACCTTTTAGAAGTAAAAACAGAAATACATTAAGGAAAAGGATCTTTGACTCTAAAAGTTGCCAAAAATAAAAATTTTGGTATCAAAACTTTTCTCTCAAGACTTTAAATTTGTAAAGAATACATGATGACAGTAGAAACTCTCCTCACACTGAGAAAATAAGAGTTCTCAAAGTAGGACAACAAGTAAAAGTCAGTTAGAAAATATATTAGGATAAGACAATAGTATACAGGTATCTGACAATGAAATAAATACATATTTCTTAGGATTAGAACAGAAAAAGGGATGATGGTAAAAACCACGGACATGCATATTTAACAGCAATATAGATACAATCTACCTCATCTCCTGCATGCAGCCCTGCTAGATATCACGTTAATGTCCCTGTGCCACCATGGCGTGTTACAGACAGTAGAGTGAATGTGGTTACATGAAATGCATGGGTAGATAATCCTAAGGTTGGTTCAGTGAATCTGTGTGTGTCCTTGAAGCAGGAATACAACACAATGTCACCATCTCTATGCCACTACCTCTCCTGGCTAAGGAAAGCAGGAACCTATGAGAGAGAAATCCTAGGAGGGACAACACAGCTGACATAATGTTTCAGCATGTGGGGGTTCTGTGTCCACTGGATTCACTGTCACTTAGTAGAAAACTTTCCATAGAAAATGGATCAACAAACAGTGTTCTCTGACTCTCCTACATATATCTAAGACCTCCCTCTTGAGAGTATATGGCACCTAAATTGGAGATATTTGCCTTTGAAATTGTTTTAGGAACAATTAGGGTTCCTGCTGTGCCACTACTGAGTCCATGCAGTAGATCTAGGATGTGGTTATATAACTTACAAAATCTATGAAGGTATTTCTGTCCATGCCATCTACATCAGTGAGCTCAAAATGAGACTGGGGAAAATATGCAAAACATTAACACAGCAATTGGTGCAGCATAGTTTAGTGTGAAGAAACCAAAATGTAAATCTAGGACTCAGCACTTTTTATCTAATCTTCTAGACATTATAATGCTGGATTAAGTATCTAGCATATCTGAGCCTTGTTTTTCTCACCTACATAGTGAGGATGATAATTCTCTCCTTGCAAAGTATATATGGAATCTGAACCAATGTCGATCATGAAAATATATAATACAGAGTAGATTGTAAAGGAAATAAAACTACACTGATACAACAATGATTTGTACAGTGCATTTGTCAAAACCTACAGCATGTAACACACCAAAAGTGATCTATAATATAAACTATGGATTTAGAATGATAATGATGTATCAGTGTGGGTTCATCAATTGTAACAAATATACCATTCTGATGAGATTTTAATTGAGAAGACTTATGCAGGTGTGGAAGCAGAAGGGATATGGGAAATCTCTGTACTTTCTGCTCAGTTTTCCTGAGAACCTAAAACTGTAATAAAATAAAATTAAGAAAAATAGGAAGTGAGGGATACAGCTCAGTAGCACAGCACCTGCCTGGCAAGCTCAAGGTCATGAGTTGAGTCTCAGTACCAAAAAAAAGAAAAAGAAAAGATCAAATATGTACAAAAATTAATACAAAACAGTAGGTCACCTGAAAATACACAAATTTGCTGAGAAGGTTTTGTGAAAAGATTTCAAGCAAATTTTATATAAATTTCAATGATTAATGAGGCAAGAACCAAGAATTTTGGAAGTGTATGCATGATTTTGTGTGTGTGTGTGTGAGGGTGTGTGTGTGTGTGTGTGTGTGTGTGTGTGTGTGAGAGAGAGAGAGAGAGAGAGAGAGAGAGAGAGAGAGAGAGAGAGAAAGAGAAGAAGAAGGGTTATATTGAATAGTATTAGGACCAAAGTCATATAAAAACAAATAGTGTTCTATTCAGACTCCTTCCCCATAAAGTGTAGCGGAAAGCAAATTAAATGGTACATGCATTTTTAAAGATATGTTCATAGCCTTTATATAATTTTTAAACATTAAAATTAAAATTAATTCTAAAAATTAAGAGTAAACTTTTTTATTAGGTAAAGTTTGAATGGGGTTATCACATGACATTACTGAAAACGAAGTTGTAAATGAGACTTCATGATTTTGAATTATGTTATTCTTAGAACTGAGTTATTTCAGATTATGTAAATCAAATATGGCTAATAATATTTCATACTGTTGAAAATTAACATAATTGAAAATTACAAAAAAATATTCAGGCTTGTTTTTATCACATACAAATTTGAAAAATTAAATAATTTTAGAAATAGGGGGCTGGGGATTTACCTCAGCAGCACAGTGCCTGCCTGGCAAGTGCAAGGTTGTGAGTTTGGTTCCCGGTACTGGAAAAAAACAAAACAAAACAAACAAACCAACAAATAATTTTAGAAATAAAACACTTTCACATATAACATGGCAAAAATAAGCAGTCAGTAGATGCCATTGACTAAGATTATATTCGGAGGCCCAAATCAGCTCAGGAATACAACAACCAAAATCCAGAATATGGGAGGTTCTACAAGATAAACAATCCAGGTTTGTCAGCAAACACCTTGCAAGAAAGAAAAAAAGAAGAATTAAAGAGAGGAAAGAGAAGGAGAGAGAGGAAGGAGAGAAGAAGGATAAGGAGGGGAAAAAGGAGAAGAGGAAGAATGGAAGGAAAGAAAAAAGGAAGGGAAAACATAGAGAAAGGAAGGAAAGAAAGGAGAAACTTTTTTAAAATTGATGAAATATATTAACCAAATGTTGAACTTTGCTTACCTTTACATTCACATGAAACAGTTAAGATTTTTAAAAAACTGTTAAAAGTCCTTAAGAGGCAATCAGAAAAATTGATATTGACTGTATGAAGGAATTACTTACCTAATCTTAGTTGTGGCAATGACATTGCTATCAGTGCATGACCAAGTGGCCCTGATTTTTGGGTCTATGGTGAGACATTGTGGTGGGAGCAGATGGTAGAACAAAACTGGTTACCTCATGGCCTGAAGGCAAAAGAGAAAAACAAAGAAAAGTTGAGAATCCCACAATTCCTTTGGGCATACCTCCCAGTGACCTCTTACAAGTTCTGCCACCCAATAATGCCACACCAGGACCCAAATTCCAGGTGCAAACTATAATAAAAACCTTAAAGAAATGTATTGTGAGATGAAATAAGATGGTAAGTAGTAAATAAATGATAAGATTGAAAGGGCAGAGCAAATTTTTAAGAAAACCTTCCAATAAGAAATAGCTGAGAAAGCCGGTCTTCGGACCAGCGACTCACTCCCGGCCTCGTCGTTCCCCGGAAGGAGGGCTTCCGGCACACAGGGAGCCGCGGGTGGGGAGCGCCAGTCTTCCGGCTGGCTAGCTTCCTGCCTGGGGGCTCCTGGAGGGTGGGCCCCCAGTGCACGGGGAGCCTCAGGCGGGGAGCACCGGTCTTTGGGGTCTTGGAACCAGCGGCTCACTCCCGGTCTCGTCGTTCCCTGGAAGGAGGGCTTCCGGCGCACAGGGAGCTACGGGTGGGGAGAGCGAGTCTTCCGGCTGGCTAGCTTCCTGCCTGCTGGCTCCCAAAGGGTGGGCCCCCAGTGCACGGGGAGCCTTGGGCGGGGAGCGCCGGTCTTGGGACCGGCGACACACTCCCGGCCTCGTCGTTCCCTGGAAGGAGGGCTTCCGGCGCACAGGGAGCTGCAGGTGGGGAGCACCAGTCTTCCGGCTGGCTAGCTTCCTGCCTGGGGGCTCCCGGAGGGTGGGCCCCCAGCGCATGGGGAGCCATGCGGCAGTAAGCACTGTTGCACGCCGGCCCTTACGCCGGCCACCGCCGCCCAATTGGGATCTATCATGACACAGAGAAACAGTGACACAATTGGCCCACCATGCACCAACTGCAGTTGCCCACCCACAGATGTGTGTGAATCATTGAAACTTTGAACAACCCCTGGGAATATATGCCATACAATGAGCCACTCTTGCTCCTGCCATTGGGAACCAGAAAGGTCCAGAGCCAGTGGAGGAGCAGCTGCTGAACAAGGACTCAGAGAACATGAGAATGCAGACTAAGCCCACAGAGTCAGAGGTCCGGTGGACTGGGGTCACGAGAGCCGCTC